TTTGATTTGCAGATATCTATTTACAAAACATTTTTATTCATCTCTCAAACTTTGCGTGTCGAAAACAATCCCATGGTCATGACAAAACTTCGACATTACTTCTAGCGATTACTCGGCGCCTGGTCACGTACGCCTTCAGGATTTCATTTCTCAACAAAATTTGCACTAAACACGAAAGCGCAATTTCAATTTCATCAGCGATCAGGATGCCAGCAAATGTGATCAAAGCATACGTTTCAGTGAAAATCCTTTTAGCCGAGCATAACATGAATGGGCTGACTTGTAGTTGAAAGACTTTAGGTGTATCGGTGTGAGCGTTCTGTTTCTAACATGTCTAGCGTATTTGAGCTGACCTCGAGCACTAGTGATGTTGATTTACGTATCCTCATTTATCGATTGCGGTAATTAATTGGTTCCGATATCGCGTATGGTGATGTAAGTGCTACATTGACAACTGATGTACCAGGCCCGCCGATATGTACGCGATAAGAATCTTTATGTCTTTACCGCATTGGTCCTTAAAAGTCATATTTAATCTTATAAAAACACGCGAGTATTAACTAAGTATGTTTTTTTTCCACATGAATAAAAAACATCGAAATGGTTGTGGTATTTGCTTTATCCACTTTGGCCATCGGAACACACTGGATAATGTAAACCTAGTGTTTGAAACGTCACATACATGTAGGTCCTTGCTGTAATTAGATAAAGATTGAAAGGAAATTTATTCAATTTCATGCTGTTATGAACGCATTTGCCGATTTTTCTAAAGAGGCTTCGAATAAGGGAAACATGACTTGGGAAACTCGAGCGCGAATTTTATCATCTCGTCATGTGATCAGTATAATCCAATCACACACGCTGTAATATAGAATATTATATAAAAACGTGCTATTTTGCATGAAAATACAACATGTAGAACGTTTATTATAAATTATTCATGTTTGCTGATATTTTGCCGTTTTACAGAGTGAAACAGAGAAAACTCTTCTTATCAATATTCATGCTTCGCAGCCCACGTTACACTTTATGATTTGCTATATTAGGTTCTTAACAAGTATTTCTACTCCAGGTTATCCATTAAACGACACATCTGTTGGTTTAACAAAAGTGATGATCATTCGTTTGATGTATACCTTACGTCACTTTAAATGGTTGACTTCATGATCCATGGGATGAGATGGCTTGAAGATTGCAGATGTGGATGAGAGTTACAAACACGCATCGTGTATTTGATTCTTCTGTCCCTGTGATTTAACAAATTTATTTGTAATTGTTAGCTGACGTGCAAACAAGCATCGTGTACTTGATTCTCGTGTCACTGTGATTTAATTAATTATATATATATTACTGTGTAAGCTGGGATATGTACTTGATTCTCGTATCCCTGTGATTAAACAAATTAGGCCGAACCAATTATGTGTTGTTATGTAAGCTGAGGTGCAGACATACGTGTACTTGATTTTCCTGATACTATGATCATCCATCATGTACTTGATTCGCGTGTACTTGTGATTAAACCCAAATGATTGTGTAAGCTGGCGTTTCTGCGCCGTACATAGTTTGCAATTATGGCATATTAATGAGCTCAGACTGATAAAGAAATTGGACTTGTGTTAGAGCAGTAGAGATTGGCTTCAAACTGAACCTTTCTAAATGTACATGGTACAGGGTTAAAGACGTAAAGTAGATGATGAAAATACACATAGTGTCCCTTCTTGTTCGCGGGATCAAAGCTGCACAGACATCTTTCTCTCAGATCTGATTAACACAGGCAGTAGTTGATGATCGCCCTTGACCAGTGGCCAACATAGCTCTGTGTCTATCTATACAAATCTCTGTTTGACCTTTGACCTCTGTAGCCAAACAGGCCAGGTAACATGCATGTGGAAGTGCATACAACACATACATTCATTAAAAAAAGTCTCTTCATATGATGCTCCTTTAAAGCCCAGGCCCTTAAAGGTATTCTCGCAGTTCTTCGCTAGTTTTGGTTGTTCTAAATGCATCAACATATTATCATTTGCTAAGTTTTAATTTTCCCTTAATTGTGATTGAATACGAACAGGCACTTTGCCATTTTACTCAGAAAGTTTGTTCTGTGTTAAAGCATCATAAAAGAACATGTTACCATAAACAATATAATCGAAATTCAGTATCACAGTATGTTTCGACACTTTCCCCTTATTAAAGCTTAAAAGAGAGTCGATTTTTATCATTATTTTGTTTTCGGTTTGTTTAGAGCGATTGTAACTTTCCACAAATATCACCGCATTCCGCTTTCTCTTGTTATATTCTCTTAAAATCTTCTTCATTGTTTTATAATACTATATAAAATCACCCACGCATGAGTGAATGGCAACGGGTTAGAGATGTGCCCAGTCTGAAAGACCGCTTTCAGAAGTTTGATGTTTTGCCAGGTCTTTCCTTTTCTATTTTCTAGCAGACTTTAGGCATTCTCAGGGGAACAAACTGTACATCTCCTGACCGATTTTTTTTTCATATGAAGCTAAATTTATTGATGAACTTATCAGGACTGATCACAAAAAGAATATTTTGCAAACAATGACAGATCTGGTAACATTATTCTTTTTATTTTATTCGTAGTAGGACTGTCGAGTTAGTATTAAATATGATGATTTATGTTCACTAACTACAGATATTCTGTTAGAGTTGTGGGGAATCAAGGGAAAGATAAAGTGGATGTTTAGTTGTTATTTTCTTAACATTTTATTTGAAAGCTTCCTTAAAGAAAGAACATGTAACTTCATCTAACCAGTTATGGACATAACAGCGTAATAAAAGGCGCCATATTCTAATAACATAATTGTATTAAGAAACAAAGGACGAATTAGATAAAAAGGAAATTTAAGTTGTCTGTTTAATAATGGTAATTATTTACATTTAATTAGACGTCTATAACGTTTATTGAATGATAAATTTAAAGGAAACAAATAGTACTTGGTCCTTTATTTGTATGCAAACTGATGTCATATTGACATATATTTTATTTTTCTAGTGTAAAATGGTCCTAATTAACCCTATGCTATTTATGATAATCTAATTTATGTAAAGAGCTTTATTTTCGTGCATAAATTCACACAATCTGACTAAAAACATATTCTAAGTTCTCTACGTATCACCTAACGTGATACGTAGAGAACGTAGGATATGATTTTAATCAGATTGAAATTCACAAAATTATCGAATTAAGGATCCCCGTACCACTGCTAAAAACTGCAATAAATGTTGGAAACTGGGTTTTTTTTCAGCATAATTTTAAAACACACCTTACGGAATTCTTAAGTGAAATAATAAAGATGAAATAAGCAAAGAATATTCAACAGTAGTGTTTTGAGTGTAGCAATTCAGTGGGACTAGATCAGGATTCGAACACCGGACCGCAGATTGTTCTACTATCGCTCTATACGATTGAGCTTACTGATCATCGGAAGTGTACTGCCCAATTATTTTTACAGGTGTATGCAAATGGGGGTTAAGGGGAGGTTACTATACATATGGAAAAAAACAAAGTCAATGAGACAGGGGTCCTTAAGTTAAAACTCCTCAGATTTGATTACGAATACAGGACTGTGACCTAGTGAGCCAAATATCTACCTTTGCATAATGATTAAAATGTTACCACGCTCTACATGACCGTGTTTGATTACGTAAGGCGGTTAACATCCCTTTACTAGGTCATGGTGATCATTATCTCATTTTGACCACAAGGTTACTCACGTACGTCTTCACGATACTTACAATATTAAGATTAGAAGAATTTTAAATATGGTCAACTTCTTTTTCACACATTTCAATAAATAAAATAAAATTATCACCCCTTTTACCTTAATGCTTAATTTGAAACCGTCAATCTGAAGGCAGTATACAAATGTTCACTTATAATGGATTTAATGTTAAAATATTGCGGATATCGATGGTGATGTCAATATCGACCGTCACTTGATATAATAGGTTACCAAGAGCACTGCCAGGGATCGGTTGCACGAAACCGTTCTCGCGCTCAAACTCAAAGTATGTGTTCAAGCTCAATTTATTTTTCTGGGGTAAATCAATCAAAATTAACATTTTGTCAATGATTTGGAAAAAAATCATTTGAGAGACTTTAAGCCGAATATCGTTTGATATTATTTTTAGTGTTCACAATTTTGACCTCATCAATTCATCCATGCTTGGTTTTATATAGGCCATGATTCCTGTTATACTGTACCAACTGATATTAAATATTAGGATGTTGATCGTTTACGTTTGAAAATGATGGATTCAATTTTGAACATAATACATCCTGCAGAACAATACATTCGGTCTTAAAAGATAAGAGTAACACATATACACAGGTGATTGCCCTTATAAAATTAAAAGATTTCTCAAAAAAAAATTGGCTTAAATAAGAAATTACATCTGTAAATGATTTTTAAAATGTTTGTTTTAACAAACGAAAGGTAGGAAAAAAGACATGGTTTTAGGAAAGATTTTGACTGCTACGTAAAATCAAGAGAGAAGTGAACATGAAATACGAAAAATCAAAATTTAATGACAAATAAAATAAATAATGTCACATATAATAAATATGCATCAATTAAGAAATGTTATATGGAAATTCAAACCAAAACAAAAGGTTTTTTGTGGATAGCAAACATGCTAAATCACGATATTGGAAACTTTAAACGATTATATATGAGAGTAATAATACGTTGATTAAGAAAACACAAGATAAGTGTTTTCTTGAGAAATAAATACATTTCTTTAATAGTTTAGTCTTATGTAATTGGCTTATAATTAACCATGTAAAATGTGACCTTATATACAGGCCTTCCTTGAATGATTTTTCTTCTTGATGCTCTATATACGGGTACATTAAGGTCAAATCTTACTGTGTCAATTGCATCAAAAATGAGACAGACGACGGACACATAGCCTCTGTTCTGTCAAGGTGACTAGTGAGATAATCATCGCTATAAAAGTCTGTCGGGCTGTCATCATTGCTATTCAGCTGTTGTTTCAGCAACAGTGAATAGAACCCATAGGCTGCAGACATGAAGCTCTTGTGGACCTTAGCTCTGATGGCGTTGCTGTTGGTCAACCCAAATGAAGGCAGACGGCAGCCAAAAAGACTACGAAGAAGTAAGTTTGGTTCATATTGAGATGTAATGGATTTAGTGCGTTTATTTATTTATTTATTCGTGTTTCTTTTTCATCAGTTGTGTTAACATAGGCGCAGAGGTTTTCATGGAGCTTTTGAAACCTCCTAACCTATCGTCCTTTTGAAATCTTTAGTTTTTAGTTTTGTTTGGTAAGGGATTTTTTACAATTGTGTTTTATTTTGTGTAGATGGTTTCGTGTGCTTTGGAAACCTCCCATCTTTTCTGCTTTCCTCTTTAAATCTAGGGGGTTTATTTATAAGTTATGTTTAAATATGCAGAGAGGGTTTAAAAGCCTCACAACCAATCTATTGTATTCTTTGAATCTAGTATTCTGTTTCCCAAAATATGATAATAGATACATCACTTTAGCTAGTGCTAGGTGGTGACACAGAATCAACTTGCCAACTATAAATCTCCTCTTATATCTTACATCCTACGTTCTTCATCATGTAATCCATCTGCACTCTCAAGTAGATTTATTCTCTAGTTGAAACTCCAATTACATGTGAATGAAATCCTTCTTCAAGTTAAAATCCTGCTAAGTCTATGGTCGTCTGCCTGAACCATGCCATTGTTTCAATAATAATCAAGGTAACAGAGATGATTTATTGATCTGTATCACAATCCACTTCTGTGGTGTAGGGGAGAGAACTCCCATAACGCACATGTGACTAAAATAACTTAAATTAACGAGTCACTGCGTGGGATCTCTGGTCGATAACTTCTGTCCTAGATGTAGAAAAAAACTGTTTAACTATTTCACAATAAACATATTATAATATACATTGTCCATACCATAGGAGAGGGCTTGTATAGGCATTACGCCTGTTGCCCAATTCCTTTTGAAATTTGTATAAGATGCAATATTCAATAATAAAAAAATGTGAAATGAAATATAATTTAAGTTTAAAAACAAAATATCTATGTTTATCCTATTATTTCCATATGTATCGTCTGCTCTATCTAATTAGGTATACTTTTCATGATTTTACAATGCGAAGTTTAGTGACGTCATATTTGCCTTTTGACATCATGCGTTTCCTCGAATTGACTGTCATCCGAATGACGAGAAAATATATTTTCTCTTCAGTTCACTGATCATGCGGTGTACCCGATTTAAAACTCACAAAAAATAATTAAGGTTTATGCATAATAAGTGTTTTATTTTCTTAAGACAGTTGCTTTTTAATACGTATCTTTCATGAAAAAGTCATTTATGAAAGTACAGATAATCAAATAGGATTTGTATTAAACTTCGTGAATTTATTTTAACAGAAGTTTGAAGGTTCTAATGAAGAATTGTTTCCTCTGTTTACATCATAATCAATAATCACTGGTACGATATTCCTTAGATTTGCTACGTGAAAAAGGGAATTTCTTACATCGGATATTCCTGGACGAAAAAAGCAGAGAATTATAAGATAGAAGAAAAGAGAAAAAATAGTATTTGCTTTATTTTTTATACCGGACATTAATGGATAAGTTAAAAGGGCAAACATATGTAAAACACGTATGCGTAAACCAGGGAACAAAAGGGCACGGTAGTCTAGTGGTAGGACTCCGGGCTCGTGACCGAGGGGTTGCGGGTTCGAGTAACGGCACGGCACTGTGTTGTATCTTTGAGCAAGATACTTTACTCCGCTTGTTCCAGTCTACTCAGTTGTAAATGAGTACGTGGTTGGGCAGTGCTAGAACTGTTGAAAGCTAGCTGTGATTGCCGAAATGGCAGCACCGACTGTATGCTCCCCAGGGAGTTGAGAAAGATATTGGCTGGTTGCAAAGGCCCCATAACCATGGATAATAATTTGATAACCGCTTTGAGACGACTTACAAACTAGGTTGTGATAAAGCGGTATATAAGAACCTCGAATTAATATTATTATTATTTATTATTATTACAAAAGACAGAAATCGGAATGGAGACTTTAGATTTTTTTTTAATATAAATTGTATTTAAGGTAAAGCAGAATCATAACATAATATAGTTATAATATCTATAAGTAAAATGTTTGTTTCTTCAATATTTGTCGGTTTAAAAACCGTTTACTTTGTGTCCGTGATTCCTTGTTCTAACAACCTGCTATTGTTTACAAAAAAACATCTATTCATTGCATTATTTATGTCGCTTTCTGTTTATTTTTGACACGGAAAACAGTTAAAAATTTGACATTGTACCAGAAAAATCACCTTTCTGTTTAATAAAACATAGTACATTCTTTCATATCATTTAAACAAAAACATTTTTTTGTGATTCTAGGTATAGCTATAGTTGACGAGATTGCAGAACTAAAAACAAAAGTAGAGAAGTTATCTGAACAAGTTCACAAGCTTGAGGAGCAGAGCCATGGGGTTCATATTCATATAGGAAACGACTACCACGAAAAGAGTGGAGACCATCATAACGGAGATGACGACCACAGCGACACCGGGGATCACAGCGGTGACCACAGCAACACTGGGGATCACAGCGGTGACCACAGCAACACTGGGGATCACAGCGGTGACCACAGCAACACTGGGGATCACAGCGGTGACCACAGCAACACTGGGGATCACAGCGGTGACCACAGCAACACTGGGGATCACAGCGGTGACCACAGCAACACTGGGGATCACAGCGGTGACCACAGCAACACTGGGGATCACAGCGGTGACCACAGCAACACTGGGGATCACAGCGGTGACCACAGCAACACTGGGGATCACAGCGGTGACCACAGCAACACTGGGGATCACAGCGGTGACCACAGCAACACTGGGGATCACACCGGGGATCACACCGGGGATCACACATCAGATCATCACGGGAGTACTGGGGATCATTCATCAGACACACATGGTACCACCGAGGATCACAGCGGAGACCAAACCGGGGATCACACCGGGGATCAAACTGGGGATCACAGTGGAGACCATAGCGGGGATCAAAGTGGAGACCATAACGGGGATCACAGCGGAGACCATAGCGGGGATCACAGCGGGGATCACTCCGGGGACCATAATGATCACCATAATGAAGATGGCCATGACAGCCATTACCCTCATGCTCAGCACGTCTACCTCAACATGAAACTTTCTAGCGGATGTGGTCATAATAAAAAGGCAGACGTACACGTAGAGCACGGTAAATATCTCCCTTTTATATTATCTATATCGTTATTAAAACAATCCTTTATATACACAAGTGTTTCGATCCGAAACGGAGTGATTTTCATTGATGACATCATATGGGTGTTTCGCTAATCAATTAAATAAATCCGATCGACTTACTATTAGTATTTTATTTGTCTAGCTCTCCACGCCCATTGCGAGGTGATGTCAAACACACAGACTCCAGATCTATCCTACAAAATAAGAGGCCATATTGAATTAACACAGGAGGTGAGTGTATTATTAGAAGTAACAAATTAGTTTGTTTTTATTAACCAAAAGGTTAGTTTAGATATTCTTATATATTTAAGGGCCTATTAAATTCCCTTTTTAAAATCCAAATTCACAAGAAGCGTTTGACAAACTCCCAAGAAGAATTGAAGCAGTTAGTACCTGTCTAGGAATTTTAAGTATTTTACTCATCAAAACCTATTGACGGCGTGTTTTAATAAGAAAAACGCTATGAAATAAATATAGCAGCATTATTGAAATCTATTTACAGAAACATTTACCATAACAGAAACAGCATCGAAACTTACAACAACAACAACAACAACAACAACAATAAAGATACTTACCATAACAACAGCATAATATACTTACCACAACACCACAAATACTTACCTCAACTACAACATCGATAATTACCACAACAACAACAAAAATACTTACCACAACAACAACAAAAATACTTACCCCAACAACAAATATACTTACTACAACAACAACAAAATCGATAGTTACCGCAACATTAAATGCATCGATACTGACCAAAACAACAACATATATACTTAACACAATAACAACAAAAATACGTACTACAACAACAACAACAATTATACTTAGCTAAACAACATGAATTTTATTACTGCAGCCTCACCACGATGAAGTGACTCTTAAATACCACCTTAAGAACATGAAGCCCCATGCTACGCATGGTCTCCACATCCATGAGACCGGTGATATGACGAGAGGTTGTAACTCCCTAGGGGCCCATTACAACCCCACACACCATCATCACGGATCGGCTGGCAGCAAAGATAGGTAACATACGCTCAAATTTTATTCTTATTTTTTTCAATCACTTTTAAGTAAATTCGAATGCTTAAAATCAAAGATATATAAACATTTATTTACGTTAATATTCAAACGAAGTGAAAATTCACAAAATGAATGAAACCCTGGATTATTTACTCCTAATAATTTCAGGTAAGGTTAATAACACCGAATGGAAATAATGCGAAGCTTAAGTTTGTTTTTCAGTTTTCTTTTGTGTCTTCGGATTGTACAAGAAATGTTAATTATCTACGGGATTTCAAATGTCTTTTTATGCCTGGTTTTCCCTGGTTTTATTTTTAAAATGATAAAAAATAACAATATCATTAGCACGTGTCAGCATTAATTAATTAACACCATGCATCATATTTGTTGTGTATGCAAAACGAGAAAAAAAATCCATATTGAATACATTGCAGTTAAGAAAAGATATGAAAATAAACATAAGTACCGTATTCAATGTGACTGAAATACACAACCTAAAAGTTAGATGCCTGATTATTTACCACACGTCTTTAACTTTAACATACCACTGTAAAGGTTCTCCTACTAGAAATTTTCTAATTATAGCCTATTTTCAGTTTCTCTCAAGACACCACAATGCACCAAGTAACGCATTATAGAGTATAGTCTATATCACGAAATTAATACAATGTAGTGGTAATGCTGGTTCAATATAATCAGAAAAAAATGAACATTCAGATGTTAAATAGTGTACCTATACATGATCGATATCACCATTTTAACGCTGCATCGTGAAAGAAAAATAGAGACCCTTATGAGAAGATTAACAAACAGAAAATAGCCGGCGTACATAAATTGAACAACTTACTTTCCATCGTTAGATCTGAAAATTCTGATGTGTTTTGTGTTATTCAATTATTTATGATCTACTTGAAATGTACAAGGTTTAACTTTGATCAAACAAACTCTTTGTTTTGTTAGGTACAGAGCGTTTTAACATAATAAAAGGTTAACCTTATGAAGGGTTAGCTGAAAATGCAATGCTTTCAAAAATCACAGCAAAATTCTATGGAAATTAGGATTTCGTATAGGATAAGAGCTTACCTTCCGAATGAAGTGACTCAATCTATAGTTTCTCGTGTCTTTGACAGCCACGTTGGAGATCTCGGAAATATTGCTGGCGATGAGCATACCCGTTATACTCACACCCAAAAGATCCATGCCGATCTACATGAACTCATCGGCCGTTCTATTGCCGTAAGTATTGCCGAGTGTTGCAACTATTCCAATAACACGTATCAAATAATGATATTTTTTAAAGTCAAACTATATACTGTAATTAACCATGAGATGTAAACAAATAAATCGATAACATAGTGGCTTTAAAGAATTATTTTCTTTACAATATTTGTATTTCTGTATATTTTCACCTAGATTAACGCCGATGCCGATGACAGAACGGGCAGTCATGGAGGTCCAGTAGCGTGCTGTGTCATAGGGCGTAGCCAAGACGACCACCAGTCTAATCATGATGATGACCACGACACCGATCACAATGAAGACCATCATGGAGATCAGGACAATCACGGCGTCCATCATGACGATGACGATCACCATCACAATAACGACCACCATCACCACCATGACCACCATCATGACGATCAAAAGGACCACCATGACAAACATGGCGACCATCATGAAAATCACGGCCACGATAATGACGATCACGATCACCATCATGAGGACCAAGGCCACCATAATGAAGATCACCACCACCATGGCGACGATCATCAGGGATAAACTTGATGCCATAATGACTTTAAAGAAACGAGACTTTTCTCTGAATACTTTACTTAAACAGATGTATGCATAGTTAAAAGTGTTGAAATAATTTCGCGTGTTTGAATTTGAAGTTTTATTTGATTGTATCAAACAGAATTAAAATAATCTGTGTGAAGCAACAACACTGACTTTAATTTTTTAATTTTATGAATTATCCATCTTATGAGTTTGCGAACATTTTGTATCTGTTTTGCTATAATACGACAAATTCAATTCGACTGATGGTAAGTTGTACAGGTGCCATCCGGATACTGTGAGCTGATACAGGATTATACTACTTCAAAAATACGAAAATCAGGATTATTTTTGTGCCTCCTAATATGTAGAATGATACACATTTACTTATTAATATTTTCAGGGCCTCGTACCACTGCCAAACACTGTTACAAAGCTTTGGAAACTTCTTTTCTGCACGACTATAGTTTTGATAAATTATTTCCGAAAAGAAAACCATACCTTGCGGGACTTTTATGAAAAAAACAGACTGAATATGAAATAGACAAAATATAACCAACATCAGTGTTTTGGGTATAAAAATTCAGTGGGATGGACCGCCACCGGAACTCCGGACTTAAGATTGTTTTGCTATCGCTCTATCCACTTGAGCTACCTGGTCATCGGAAGTGTCCTGTAAGTGTTTCTCATGAATAGACTGGTATTCGCACCCTTGACGTCACACCCTTTTACTATCATTCTTACCGACAAAGCTCTTACTAGTTAACGGAAGTGTCCGGGCCCAACTGTGCTACATTATAATCCAAACGGAAGTTAAGGGGAGGTTACTGTATATACGAAAAACTAGTGCAGCGGGACATGGCGCCTTAAATAATCAGACTGACCAAATGGAATACCTGACATGGTCAATATTGTCCACTAAATGGTTGGTTAGCTTCTATTCATGTTCAAGTTATTGTGCAAAGCCAGACATTGTTTCAGCTGCTATAGTGTTTATAAGATTTACCTTGTTCAAATTTAAGACAATACATTGACAGGGGAAGCGATAAAATGGCCTAGATCTAAAAAAACTAAATGACAATTTATATCTAACAAACGTTAACACGGCGAGTTCATCCGAAACAACACATTTTTATACACATTATCATTAGTTGTTAAAATTTATGTAAAAAAACATTTTTTCCTTTATACATATTTTGGCCCGGGTTTTTCGGTTTTGAGTTCGTACTGTGATTTTGTTGACACTTCGGTAATTGCTTGTTATTTTTTCTCCAAAGAAAAGCCAAAAATCCCACCACAAAAAGAAATACCACAACAAGGTTGTTTTCCTTGATATTGTCTGAAAGTTCATACATGTATCACAAAGTTGACAGTAGAAATACTTACGTGCTGTGTGCAGAAGCCGAATTCCTGTAAGGCAAGCTTTTATTGTATAAACACAAAAATATTTTACCTATTTATTGAATGAATATATTTACCAATTAAAATGAATTTGCTCATGCCATCAAACAGGGGTAATTACTCTAATGAAGGGAGATAACCAGGTTATTTTATTAACTATACCCTGGAAACTTGTTAGAGACTAGGGTGTATTATTAGAAGTAACAAATTAGTTTGTTTTTATTAACCAAAAGGTTAGTTAAGATATTCTAATATATTTAAGGGCCTATAAAATTCCCTTTTTTAAATCCAAATTCACAAGAAGGGTTTGACAAACTCCCAAGAAGAATTGAAGCAGTTAGTACCTGTCTAGGAATTTTAAGTATTGTACTCGTCAAAACCTATTGACGGCGTGTTTTAATAAAAAAAATATATACTATGAAACAAATATAGCAGCATTATTGAAATCTATTTACAGAGACATTTACCATAACAGAAACAGCATCGAAACTTACAACAACAACAACAACAACAATAAAGATACTAACCATAACAACAGCATAACCTGTCTAGGAATTTTAAGTATTGTACTCGTCAAAACCTATTGACGCGTGTTTTAATAAAAAAAAAAATACTATGAAATAAATATAGCAGCATTATTGAAATCTATTTACAGAGACATTTATCATAACAGAAACAGCATCGTAACTTACAACAACAACAACAACAACAACAATAAAGATACTAACCATAACAACAGCATAATATACTTACCACAACACCACAAATACTTACATCAACTACAACATCGATAATTACCACAACAACAACAAAAATACTTACCACAACAATAACAAAAATACTTACCCCAACAACAAAAATACTTACCACAACAACAACAAAATCGATAGTTACCGTAACAGTAAAAGCATCAATACTGACCAAAACAACAACAGATATACACAATAACATCAAAGATACGTACTACAACAACAACAACAAATATACTTAGCTAAACAACATGAATTTTATTACTGCAGCCTCACCACGATGAAGTGACTCTTAAATACCACCTTAAGAACTTGAAGCCCCATGCTACGCATGGTCTCCACATCCATGAGACCGGTGATATGACGAGAGGTTGTAACTCCCTAGGGGCCCATTACAACCCCACACACCATCATCACGGATCGGCTGGCAGCAAAGATAGGGAACATACGCTCAATTTTATTCTTATTTTTTTCAATCACTTTTAAGTAAATTCGAATGCTTAAAATCAAAGATAAATGAACATTTATTTACGTTAATATTCAAACGAAGTGAAAATTCACAAAACGAATTAGACCCTGGATTATTTACTCCTAATAATTTAAGGTAAGGTTAATAACACCGAATGGAAATAATGCGAAACGTAAGTTTGTTTTTCCGTTTTCTTTTCTGTCTTCGGATTGTACCAGAAATGTTAATTATCTACGGGATTTCAAATGTCTTTTTATGCCTGGTTTTCCCTGGTTTCATTTTTAAAATGACAAAAAATAACAATATCATTGGCACGTGTCAGCATTAATTAATTAACACCATGCATCATATTTGTTGTGTATTCAAAACGAGAAAGTAAATCCATATTAAATACATTGGAGTTAAGAAAATATATTTCTTTGTTGCTAACCCAGTCAAACTATATACTGTAATTAACCATGAGATGTAAACAAATAAATCGATAACATAATGGCTTTAAAAAATCATTTTCTTTACAATATTTGTATTTCTGTATATTTTCACCTAGATTAACGCCGATGCCGATGACAGAACGGGCAGTCATGGCGGTCCAGTAGCGTGCTGTGTCATAGGGCGTAGCCAAGACGACCACCAGTCTAATAATGATGGTGACCACGTCACCGATCACAATGAAGACCATCATGGAGATCAGGACAATCACGGCGACCATCATGACAATCAAGACCACCATGCCAAACATGGCGACCATCATGACAATCATCATGACAATCAAGACCACCATGACCACCATCATGACAATGAAGACCACCATGACAAACATGGTGACCATCATGAAAATCATCATGACCACCATCACGACAATCAAGATCACCACGACAAACATGGCGACCACCATGACCATCATCATGACCACCATCATGACAATGAAGACCACCATGACAAACATGGTGACCATCATGAAAATCATCATGACCACCATCATGACAATCAAGGCCACCACGACAAACATGGCGACCACCATGACCATCATCATGACCACCATCATGACAATGAAGACCCCCATGGCAAACATGGTGACCATCATGAAAATCATCATGACCACCATCATGACAATCAAGACCACCATGACCACCATCATGACCGCCATCATGACAATGAAGACCACCATGGCAAACATGGCGACCATCATGAAAATCATCATGACCACCATCATGACAATGAAGACCACCATGGCAAACATGGCGACCATCATGAAAATCATCATGACCCCCATCATGACAATCAAGGCCACCACGACAAACATGGCGACCATCATGAAAATCATCATGACCACCATCATGACAATGAAGACCACCATGGCAAACATGGTGACCATCATGAAAATCATCATGACCCCCATCATGACAATCAAGGCCACCATGCCAAACATGGCGACCATCATGACAATCAGCATGACAATCAGCATGACAATCAACATGACAATCAAGACCCCCATGACCATCATCACGACCACCATCATGACAATGAAGTCCACCATGACAAACATGGTGACCATCATGAAAATCATCATGACCACCATCATGACAATGAAGACCACCATGGCAAACATGGTGACCATCATGAAAATCATCATGACCACCATCACGACGATCAAGACCACAATGCCAAACATAGCGACCATCATGACCATCATCATGACCACCATCACGACGATCAAGACCACAATGCCAAACATAGCGACCATCATGACCATCATCATGACCACCATCACGACAATCAAGATCACCACGACAAACATGGCGACCATCATGAAAATCCAGACCACCATGACAAACATGGCGACCATCATGGTGATGACCATCATGGCGGTGACCATCAAGGCGACGATCATCAAGACGATGACCATCAACACGAGGATCATCAAGGCGGCGATCAACATGATCAACACCAGACTGACCACAACACTGATGACACACATCAAGACGATGTCCAGGCTGAAACAGTCCATCAGGGATAAACTTGATCCCATAATGACTTTAAATAAACGAGATTTTTCTCTGAGTACTTTACTTATACATATGTATTCATAGTTAAAAGTGTTGAAATAATTCCGCGTGTTTGAATTTGAAGTGTTGTTTGATTGTAAAATACAGTATTAAAATAATTAGTGTGAAGAAACAACACTGACTTTTTTAATTTTAATTTTGTGAGTTATCCATCTAATGAGTTTGCGAACATTTTATATCTGTTTTGCTATAGTACGACAAATTCAATTCGATTGATGGTAAGTTGTACAGGAGCCATCCGGATATTGTGCATTGATACAGGGTTATACTCCTTAAAAAAGGAAAATCAGGATTATATTTGTGCCTCCAAATATGTAGAATGATACACATTTACATGAGCGGAATAATATTTTAGGGGCCTCGTACCACTGCCAAACACTGCTACAAATCTTTGGAAACTTCTTTTCTGCACGACTATAGTTTTGATAAACCATTTTATGAAAAGAAAACCATACATTGCGGGACTTTTATGAAAAAAACAGACTGGATATGAAATAGACAAAATATAACCAACATCAGTGTTTTGAGTATAAATATTCAGTGGGGCTAGACCGCCACTGGAACTTCGGACTTGAGCTACCTGGTCATCGGTAGTGTCCTGTAAGTGTTTCTCATGACTAGACTGGTATTCGCACCCTTGACTTCACACCCTTATACTATCATTCTAACCGACAAAGCTCTTTCTACTTAACGGAAGTGTCCGGGCCCAACTGTGCTACATTATAATCCAAACGGAAGTTAAGGGGAGGTTACTGTATATACGAAAAACTAGTGCAGCGGGACATGGCTCCTTAAATAATCAGACTGACCACATGGAAAACCTTACATGGTCAATAGTGTCCACTAAATGGTTGGGTAGCTTCTATTCATGTTCAAGTTATTGTGCAAAGCCAGACATTGTTTCAGCTGCTATAGTGATTTATAAGATTTACCTTGTTCAAATTTAAGACAAAACATTGACTGGGGAAGCGATAAAATGCCCTGGTCCTAAAAATAAATGACAATTTATATCTAACAAACGTTAACACGGCGAGTTCATCCGGAACAACACATTTCATACACATTATCATTAGTTGTTAAAAAATATGTAAACAACCATTTTTTTTCTTTATACATATTTTGGCCCAGATTTTTCGGTTTTGATTTCGTACTATGGTTTTGTTGACACTTCGGTATTTTCTTGTTATTTTTACTCCAAAGGATCATGGTTGTCACATAAGTAAAGCCTAAAATGCCACCACAAAAATAAATACCACAACAAGGTTGTTTTCCTTGATATTGTCTGAAAGTTCATACATGTATCACAAAGTTGAATGTAGAAATACTTACGTGCTGCGTGCAGAAGCCGAATTCCTGTAAGGCAAGCTTTTATTGTATAAACACAAAAATATTTTACCTATTTTTTTAATGAATATATTTACCAATTAAAATGAATTTGCTCATGCCATCAAACAGGGGTAATTACTCTAATGAAGGGAGATAACCATGTTATTTTATTAACTATACCCTGGAAACTTGTTAGAGACTAGGGTATCAAGGAGACGTTTGAAACAAGTGCCGTCTGATTCATTCCGGAGGTTTTAATTAAATTAATAATACTGATTTGCTGTTCGTTCTAAAAATTAGAAGGACCGAAAAGTTATTTTACGTATCATTGTTACCTCATTGTTACCTCCCTTATACCGTATGTCGCGACAACCACACACTCTCTCCAGATACAGGTTAGTTATCTATATGGACTACGTTCATTGCCAAAAGACGACGCATTATCATCCAGATAAGAACTTGCATTTATTTTATCAAAATCTCCAATTACTTTACACAGAACTTTGGATATTTTCAATGTCTGTCAGAATGTCGATAGTATGGTGTTGAGGTAGAGAAAATTTAGACTTGCAAACGCACGAATTTTTGTAAACCAAACTGTTCTTATGCTAAAACTAGGTTTCTGTGCTCACCACGAGTTTCTTGTTCCGGTTATGAATAAACAACAAAAAACACACATTTTTTCAATGATTTGGATGAATATCGAAATAGAGTTACGTTTTTCAATTTCTAGAGTTGACCTTTCGACCTTGTCACATGATTAAAGCTAGTTACAAGAAAGTTGGTTTGAGCACAGAATCCATGCCTGAGCGAAAAAAATAGGTTCTTGGAGCTCTTCAGAATGCCTACAACAATCTAAAATCTACAGATGAGGAAATGCTGTTTTCATCCCCTTTAGGACTAGGAAAATAATAGATGGCAATTTTAAGGATGTCTGTATCGCTGTCAAAAACTGTAACTAAGTGTTAGAAACGTGTTTCCGGCATGACTATAGCACAGAAAGCAAGACCGAAGGAGAATATAAAACCATATCTTACGGGATTTTTATGAAAAATATTTAGGATGAAATAAACAAAATATAATCAACATTAGTGTTTTAAGTATAACAATTCAGTAGGGCTAAACGTCAGGGACCCGAATCCCGGAATTCAGATTGTTTCACTATTGCTCTAACCACATGAGCTAACTGGTCACCGGAAGTGTCCTGGCTCAACAGACGTACAGATATCTAAACGGAAGTCAAGGTGAGATAACTTTATATACGAAAAACCAGTGAAGTGGGACAAGGATCCTTATTTTTTGACAAATATCCTTATTTTTTTACTAATATTAAAAATAATATCTAACCGTTGTGTAATACTAAGAATAAGAAAATAAATTTAAGGCAAGAACCAAATGAAGATGATTGGCCAAAAAGGGTTTAGCTACCCTTATTGTCAGATTATTGAATAGTATGACAGAACATTGCCACCACCTCGTGACCACAGGGACCTGAGAATTTGTTACATCTATATTTGGACCTAAACTAAGTTGTTCAGAGTAAGTTTTACATTTTTTAGGGGTTTGGTAAAAATGACACCCCAATGATCATATATAGGAGTTCCAATATATGATCATTGGGGGTGTCATTTTTACAGAATGTCGATCTAAACGCCTAAATCATTTATAATTACTCGGAACACTTCAGTTTAGGTCCAAATAGAGCTGTAACAAATTCTCAAGTCCCTGTGCTCGTGAGAGTTATGAGCGTTTTCTGTAACAAAAATCTTACCTTTACTGATCTGTGCGCACGGACTACTAAATGTGTAACCATATCTCTTCGCGGGCTCCATGAAAATATATTAATTATATAATGAACACATTGTACGAGAGTGTCATATCAAAACAGCTGGAGACTAATACAAAACACTCATCTCAATGGCGTCATCGTCAGTGCGTCCAAACACACAACATGAGCAGGGAAGAATTTACGCATACAAATATTGTTTGCTATACGAAAGATTTATACTTCGCTAATGAAACTAAAACAGAAAGCAGACGCTATGTACAGATTACAAAGCATGATGCATTGAAATGTAGTGGGAAGGACCGCGATGGCCAAGTGGTTAAGGCGTCTGACATTCTGCTAACACTAGCCCTGGGTCGCGAGATCGAGACCTACGTGGGGCATTTGCCAGGGACTGGCCGTTTGTCGGTGGTTTTGCTCCGAGAACTCCGGCTTTCCTCCACCACCAAAACCTGGTATGTCCATAGATAAACATGTAACCTGCAATCATGAGTTTTGGTCACCCTTTTATCCCACAACGTTAATATTATATCTGAAAATCCATATGTTTTTCGTGGAAACACATATTTCTGTATCGAATGGAAAACAACTACCAAGAATTACGGCTTCAGAATGGAAGATGACAGCGCAAAGCATTATTACCTGACGTCATTTAAAAAACGCCAACGAAATGACGTCAAGGGTGTTACCGACTATAGTGAGTAGCCAAATTATACTGTAGAGTTTTTCTTTTTCCTGCACTTTATTCTTATTTCTCCTTACTTTCTGATAATATCCCAAATAGTTTGTAATATAAAAACGTTTATACATTGTACAAAATGTACATATGTTAGCGGCAAAAAGTGATGTTGTATAGGGTTGATGGAAATTGTATCTCATCCTTTTTGCTTAAAATTCTGACGCAATGAAATAGGTTTAAACTATTCATTACTCGGATGGTAGGTACATGTAACTGTCAGGAATGTTTTCTTACATTCGCTATGTACTAAATTATAATTGTTATTTTGTAGCGCTAACTGAATAAATATGTTAAGGTAGATATTTACTTGTCTTATATTAGAATTCATGAAAACTTTAGTTAATGTATATTTCCTTTTTTTTAACGATTAGACATATAAAATAATAATTTTCATTGCACTCTTATTTAATGAAAGCATTATGTACAATTTAAGAGCTGGTACATGTAAACGAAAATCGAAAATAACTAAGCATGCAGCGATTTTGTTTTGTGCCTGGCTGTCAAGCTTTGTGATGTCCTTATCTCAGCTACTATGTACCGCCAAACATGATTGGATAGTTTATGACTTTAAGCCTCGTAAACACAGAATCAAAATTCATCTTCAAACAGAATGATATCTTAGGTCGAAGACCCCGATACATTCTTCAAATATTCGTGAAAAGTGTCTTACTTGACGATTATCCCTGTTTTGTTTATATCGATGGAATTCCGATGAGGATATTTCTGATGCTATACACTGTAATCGTGACATTGATGATCACTGGGAGGAGGGGTCGGGTGACGTGAGGGGATGGGGGGGGGTAAGAGTCATGATTAGAGGATTATCAAGGAGAAACTTATTAGATACATATGAATAAGAGATAAATACAACGAAACTTCATGTTTATAAGAAAGCATTATTGCATAAAATGGACTTACGTAGTTTCTAATCATTAAAAGCGTTTGCTTGTCTTGATTGAGTTCTTTAAACTTGTCCCTCAGACAATTTGCGAGAAGTCTCAATTCAAACAGGTATTGCCCTGTAATGGGTTATATCACGTTTCAAAACTACAGAAATGCTAGCTTGACCCTTTTCAGCGTATCTATGGCCTTATAGAGTAAGAAAGAATAATCAAGAATACCAATCAAAACGGGTATCGGAATCGACAGTGACTGGAGCTATACCGGGAGACA